TCCCCCTGGTCCCTGGAGAGGCCTCTGCCACTGGACAGAGCCCAAGGCAGCCAGGGTGTCTTGGGATGTGCAGGAGGTGACCGCTGAGCAAGAGAGAATGGCTCCACGAAGCTTCACCCCACTTCATTATCGTTTTATTTTTCATCCAATCCCCAAGGTTTCATTTTGCTTTCTCCCACCTCCTTAATGTATCTCATGTAACCCACTCACGTCTCCTCCTTTGATTGTAATGTATAAAACAAGGTGCAAAACCGCCATTCTCCTTTATCTCAATATTGAGATTTTACTTCCCGGCATTTGTCGACAGTTTGGCTCAAACACACAAAAATTCTTCTTATACTGGTCTAAGTGAGAAAGTGAAGATTATTCAGAAAGTGGTGTTGGAATATAGAAAACATATAGTAACATACTTGAAAACATACAGTAAACTTCAGGTGATGCTGATGGTCTGGAGACATTTTGATTTTAAGCAGAATCTTGGCTCTAGTGCAGTCACTGCTCTTAGCCTTAGCTGCACACCAGAATCACCTGGAATGTTTTTAGTCTTATTCCCCAAAGGTTCTGATTGACTTGGTGTGAAATGTGACCCAGGCATGATTGATTTTAAAATTTTCTAATGTGTAGTCAGGGTTGAGAATCATTATTGTAAATTTTGTCTTCCAAATCGTTTTTGATTGCTTTTCCTCCCTTATGCCCATTACATGTACCTTTAAATTTTTTTTTCATTGCCTAGAGCCATGGTAGGCAAACTGCGGCTTGAGAACCACATGTGGCTCTTAGGCCCCTTGAGTGTGGCTCTTCCACAAAATACCATGGCCTGGGCAAGTCTATTTTGAAAAAGTGGCATTAGAAAAAGTTTAAGTTTAAAAAATTTGGCTCTCAAAAGAAATTTCAATCATTGTACTGTTGATATTTGGCTCTGTTGAGTAATGAGTTTGCCAACCACTGGCTTAGAGAATATATAGATCATACTCATTAAGATGGCTTACAAGGTCCTTTACAATCTCATTATATTCATTCATTCTTTCCAAAAAAACATCATGATGATGGGTGCACAACAATGTGAATGGACGAAATGCCACTAAAGTTTCCAATTAAAGATGATTAAAAGGACAAATGTTATGTTTACTACAATAAAAAATTGAGCACCTTAAAAAACATACATTCAATTTTATATCAGAAGTTTAGTAGTGTCATATCCAGCCCTGGCCGGTTTGGCTCAGTGGATAGTGTTGGCCAGTGGACTCAAGGGTCCCAAGTTTGATTCCAGTTAAAGGCATGTGCCTTGATTTCGGGCACATCCCCAGTGGGGGATATGTAGGAGGCAGCTGATCAATGTTATCTCTCTCATCAATGTTTCTAACTCTCTCTCCCTCTCCCTTCCTCTCTCTAAAAAAACCAATAAGCCAAAACCGGTTTGGCTTAGTGGATAGAGCGTCAGCCTGTGGACCGAAAGGTCCCAGGTTTAATTCTAGGCAAGGGCATGTACCTTGGTTACGGGCACATCCCAAGTAGGGGGTGTGCAAGAGGTAGCTGATCGATGATTCTCTCTCGTCGATGTTTCTAACTCTATCCCTCTCTCTTCCTCTCTGTAAAAAATCAATAAAATATATTTTTTTTAAATCAATAAAATATATATATTTTTAAAAAGAGTGATATACATGCCGAAACCGGTTTGGCTCGGCATGTCCCCAGTAGGGGGTGTGCAAGAGGCAGCTGATCGATGATCCTCTCTCATCGATGTTTCTAACTCTCTATTCCTCTCTCTTGCTGGGAAAAGTCAATAAAATATATTTTTTTTAAAAAAAGAGTGATATCCATAAATACTAGAATAATTATACCACCTCATCATGGGGAAAAGTTAAGAAAGCATTTTTAAAATGACAAAAGAAAAATTAATCTCACTACATTACAAAAATAAGCTACATGTTAATACATATACTAAAAAATGATGGGGAAATATCTGCTGTAAATAAATATTAATATTCTTATTAAAATAAAGGTTTTTATAAAAATTACTCATTTCAACCAGAAAGGAAAACTATTAAACAGGACACAAGCAGTTAATGCCACTTTAGCATGTTAAGGATTGGCACTGGCAAAGAAATAGGATAAAGGGCAAGGAATTTGACATCAGTGCATTGTAAAAAAACAGCAACTTTATCTCCAAAAGGTCAAAATGCAAAGAAAAAGACAAATTTGATCTCAAAAATTAATTGAATGGCCCTGCCTTTGTAAAACTGTAATACTGTTAGGGGTAGAAATACAATAATGGGGACTAGCTTTGAGAAATATTAATCATACTCTGTTAACCAGGATTTTTTTGCTCTGATTAGAAAAGGCACATTCTAACCTGGTTGAGAATTGTATGCTCTGGAACATGGGAGCTAATATCGGAATGTAGTCCATCCTCCTTTTCTGATAACTACCTAGATTAACAACCTTGTTGCTGAGACAATTTGGTCCCAGAGGCACCCACCCTCTGTGCTCCCACCAATCCCCATTGCCTGTAACCTATAACCATTATATCTTGCCTACTTTCCCTCTACCCAATATAAGTAGCTGATTTGTGGGGAGGGGAGAGCATTATTGGAATAAACACCCATATACGACTCAAGTCTGTCTCTGCTAAATTGGCTCAAGTAGTGACAGACAGGCCAAACCCATTGTTTGTTCGGTTACAATACTGAGGGGGAAAAAAATCAATGCAAACAAATGCCAGTTAAATTAAATTTATTATATAAAGAGGTCATATAACTTGATATGAAAAAAAGGCAACCCCAATAGGTACTACAAAGGCAAAGGACAAGAACATCTGATCAAAGGAAACAAATACTTAACCTCATTAATAATCAAGGAAATAACTGGGATGCCATTTCTTGCTTATACTATACACAAGGCTAAGTTCTATGCACAGCAATTTCTACATTTTCTATTTTCTAAATATATTCAAATGTGTTATTTTTAGTAATAAAAAACAGACATTAAAAAAAAACATTGAAGTATGAAAACTTCTGCCAATGCAGAAATCATGAAAAGCATTGAAATGAATCAACACTTGTATGGGCAGTGAAGTTCTGATCCCTGGAAGCCAATTCCTTTTGTCTTGGTTCCTGAGTTTTATTATGGTATTTGTCAATAATAAGAAGGATATTCCTGACTTACACTACGACAATTTCCTAAATATAGGGATATACATATACATATATGTGTATGTTAAATGTATATATATAATTTTTTTCTTCAGGTAGACATTCCAGGAAAGTACTTCAGAATTACTCACTCCAGCCCTGGCCAGTGTGGCTCAGTTGGTTGAGCATCATCCCATGAACTAAGAGGTCATCTGTTTGATTCCTGGTCAGGGCACATGCCCAGTTTGTGGGCTCAATTCCTAGTAGGGGGCATGCAGGAGGCGGTGGCCAATGTTTCTCTTTCTCTCTCTCTCTCTCTCACTAAAATCAATTAAAAACATATTCTAAAAAAAGGAATTACTCTCTACAAAGGACTCCTGTGATTCCATTTGCTGATAAGGTCCCATTAAGATCTCCCAAGGTAGTTCTCAACCAGCAGGGATGCCTTGGCATTGAAGAGCCTGGAGATCTACCTCAGTACAGCCTCCAAGAGATAGCAGTGTCCTACGCTTTCTGTAGCTGGCTCCTTAGGGAAGCTGAAGTTCGTCCTGTCCGGTAGACATAACCAAAAGGATGTTTTCTGATCTGATGCAGAACAGAGTTGCTTACTCAGATCATGGCTTGAGGCAGACCACACAAAGCTCAGGATGCATGGGAGGGAGCAGCACCAGGGCAGCCACCCCAAATCAAATAATCTTGTTAGAAGGACTAAATTGGGAGACTGAATTTAAAATCCTATAGCTTTGTTCATCAGCATGTTTCTTTCTTTGCTTTTATAATCACATGTTTTACTGAGCAAAAAGGTAGAAAGGAGCAGAGCCTAAATTTACTGAGTAAAAGCAATGCTCTGAAACCTGAGCTCTGCTAAGTAATCTGTAGAAAAGCAACTAACTCTACAAAAAAAAAAAAACAAAAACAAAAACAAAAACAAAAAAAAAAAAAAAAAAACAAAAAAAAAAAACACACACAATATACAAGCAGAACAAGTATTAAGTTTCATCTGTAGGAACAACTTAGTCAAATGCTAAACTTGGCTGTCAATTCAAAATGTTACAGTACTTATCTATTTCAATTCAGTCAGCATGACTATATAGACATTTATTTATACTCTGGTACTGAATTCCCATTTGAAAAGCAACTAGCTGCTAGATAGAATTTAAATTTAAAAGCAATTAATCTCTACTTGAAGTGCCAATCAATTTAAAAATGAGATTATGTGCATGTGTGAGTGTGTGTATATATATATCTCATGCACATATGTATTGTATGTATGTATGTGTGTATTTGTGTGCATTTTCTCCTTTTCTCACTCTTTCCAGAAATATAAACTCTGACATGGGCTATACTGATTTTTCGCAAGTTAATATTTCTGAGTTTTTTTATTTCTCCTGCCTGCCTAAGAAACTTCACATATTCTGAATGCATCCACACAATCTACTGAATTGGCAGCTATGTCAAAAATTCTATGAAAAAAAGGGAAGTAGCTAATAATACTTGGTGACCTTTTCCTTATTTTTTAGGTTAGAGCTGGCTGGCAGCCACCCTTTGATGTTTTGTAATAAAAGATGAAAACTTTCAACTTTGAAGCATGATAAACATTACTACACATTTACTACATCACCCTACAATCTGACATACACCACAAAAAACCTCTAACATTTTTTACATTATCTTTTTGTGAGTTAAAACAGCTGGCTATGTTGAATATTTTCAGAATGCATTAACCATTTGATAAACCTATTAAGCCAAACAATACAAACAACATCAGTTACCTTTCTAATAACTTGACCAATCACTGGGAGTTATAACTGAAGAGGAAGGATGAGATCATCCATTATGCACCGCAAAAGTTATTCTAACACCTTTGTCCTAGGAATGATCTGAAGGTGCTGAAAGAGGTGATTCTCTAGAAGGTGACCCAGTATTTTCTTCAGGTGGAAAAACCGTGAGAGTACAAGCTCGAATGCCACCAAGTGACTCTGGAAGATCAAAAACTTTATGCCACTCATCCTTTTCTGGATCATATTTCTGGACAATTTCTACCATACAACGATTATTCCAAGAATATCCACCTACAACATAGATTTTATTTTCAAAGACAGCAACTCCAACATCACTTTGACCTCTTAACATGGCAGCAATCGGTGTCCACTGGTCAAGGGTTGGTGAATAGTATTCACAGCTTAGGACATCATCATAATCACTTGTTCCTCTGAAGTGATTGCCACCAATGACATAGAGCTTGTCTCCAACCGTACACATGCAATGCAGACCCCTGACTGTAGTCATTGGAGCTTTCTGTGTCCATTTGTCTGTATCGGGGTCAAAACACATGAGCTCATTTTGGAAGGTGTCATGAGTAATTCCTCCAGAAATATACATCAAGCCTCCATATACCGTTCCTGCATGGCCGTAGTGGGGTTCACTCATTTTTGCAACATAGCTCCACTCGTTCATTCTTGGATTGTAGCATTCTACTGTGGCCAGTTCACCAGCTGCACTTCGCCCACCAACGGCATACAAATGTCCTTTGAGGGCACTCAAGTGGAAGAACGTGCGCTTTTCATTTAGTGATGCAACCTGCATCCACTTATTATACCGAGGATCAAACCTGAAAACTGTATCAACAGCAGTCTTTCCTTTCGTATCGTAATTACTTTGACCGCCAACTACGTAAAGAAAGTTTCCAATGACAGCAATGCCATGCTGGTAACGGGGAGCATCCATGGGGGCTAAAGACCTCCACTCTTGTGACCTTTCATCGTACATCCGCAATTCTTTGCTGACAACCAGCTGCTGCCTCAAAACTCCTCCTAAGGTAACCAAGTGTGTCGAGTCCGATCGAATGGCCGTTCTATCTGACTGCATCACTGGCTGCATGTACGGCATCATTTGGTAATTGCTAGCTTCCAAAAGCAAATTCACACAGGTGTTGTCTGTTCTCATGAAATCTACTGTCTGCACGTAATTGATGAGGTCTTGCGGGGTCATTAGTGGAAATCGAATATTCTTCATTAATTTTGCAGCATAGTCCATCCGAGGATCTTCCAATCTTAGCCAGCGACAGGCAGCCTTGAACAGCTCAAGTTCACTACAGTGCTTCAGACTATTACTGGAAAGCACAAAGGCAAGGCGTTCGAAAGGGAGTTTCAGAAACTCTCCAGTACTCAGTAACGCAGTGAAATTCTTCAGGATGAAATTATTGACATATTTGTCCACTTCTATAAGATTATAGGTGTTAGCTATTCTCCCAACCTCAACACAGTTATCCAAAGAGACTCCCGATATCAGAAACACTTTACAGAAGTCCAAAACGGGCAAAATTTGCAAAAAGCTGGCAGCTTCGAGTGTGTCCTGGAGACTGTCCATATTAAGAGAAAGCTTTGCCGTATAAATAAAGTCAATTATCTTCTTCAGGCCGACCTTGTTCACCCCGTGAAGCTTGATGCACATTAAATCTTGTTCCTTCATCCCACCGGTGAACATGGCCTTGAAATAATCGCTAGCAGACGCCATCATGGCTCTGTGAACGCGGAAGACCTCCTCCCCGTCACCGGGCACCAGAGTCACATCACAAAGCAGTCCTTCTATTCTGAGCTGATCGAAGCCTTGCAGCACCACCGAGCTGTGGGTGTTGCTGGTGAAAATCCGTGTGGTTCCCGCCTTGCAGGGCTGCAAATGGGCGGAGACGCCCATCTCTCCGTTACCCAGAGACACTTTCATGGGAAAAGCCTCTGGCACGAAGATGCGCGCCGGTGAACGGAGAACGGGGTGGAAACCGGAATGCTTTCAAGGAAACAAAGATGTCCAAAGGGAGCGGGACAGCTCGCTCTCCGCGTCAAGGGCCAGCCGTCCCCGCGGGCCCCCCGCAGGCACGCCAGGCGGGCGGTCCTCCACTTACAGCGGCGGCGCAGCGGGACCACAACGGGCCGCGGGCCTCAGATCCGACTGTTATGCAGATGATTCATCCTCCGAAGGCAGCGCAGTCACCGGGTTCGCCAGGTCCAGCGGCCTGCGGGGCGGCTCTCCCAGCAGCGCTTCCGCTCCGGGCGAAGGGGAGGCGCCGCCACGTCCTGCAGCTGCGGGCTCCCGGGGCGGTGAGGCCCGCCCGGCACCTCCGCCGACCGTCCGGCCCGTCGCGTCCGCCGCTGTCACCGGAGCGTCGCCGCCGCGGCTCCGGGCCACTCAGGGAGGAAGGGCCTGGAACGCGGGCCTGGAACACCGGCCGAGCCCCGCCGCCGCCGCTGCCGCCCAGCCGCCCCTTCCGGAAAGGCCTAGCCAGTCCCAGGATCCCTCGGGCTAGGAGCGGCCGCCGCAGCGCTTGCGCCTGCGCGGACGCCCGACTCGCCGAGAGCGGACGTGGGGGCGGGGAAGGGGGCGCGCAGGGCAGGGCGGGGGCTGCGCGGGGTCCGCGTCCGCAGGGCCTCGGGGTCACGTGGTCTGGGGGCTAAAAAGGCCAGAGTCGGGGGTCCGCGTTTGCGCTGCCCGTTCGGTGTGAACTCTGAGCAGCACCCGGGCGCTTCATGCCAATGTGTATGGTTTTCTTTAAGATTTTCGCAGCCCGACTTCTGCTTTTTTGAGTAACAGCGAAATGCGGCTTTTGTGGAAGCGGAACGGAAACGAGGCAGACCTGGGCGGGGGGGGGGGGGGGGGGGAGGGGAGGAGATATGCTTAGAATTTTTCCTCTGTAAAAAGCTTTGTAAGTTATATCCCACGCCATTTCATGGACATCTCAATTATAACTGTGGCTCAGATTTTCAAAAGCTTAATCAGTTACAATACATACCATTTGTCTCTTTAAATACCGAGTTGTGACCATGCTGTGTAAATAATAAAACTTTTGCCTGCCAGGGGAATTCCATCAGTAAGTATTTTTTTCATGCTTTTCCACTCACAAATTTTCAATGATTACACAATTGTCCAGTAATTAGACATACAATCGTTTCCTTTGCCCATTGTTTATTTTTGAATGCATACCTTCTTATCCTCCATTGTTTTATACAATCTGAAATAAGCATAGGATGTGGACACTTTGCCCTGTAATTCAAGATGAATACTTCTTTCCAAAAGGTCACCAGCAATGCTTGAGTATGCTCTATTGATATTTCCTTTACAGGTATTTTATTAATTTGGATTTCTTCTTTAATTACTAGTAAATTTAAGTTTGGCATATGAATGATTGTATACTTGGATATAATTCTTTCAACATTATCCACAATTTGAAGTTATTATTGTCTTAAATTCTTCTAGCTTATTTATGCGTATGCAAACTAATATAGCTATATTCTTTTTACACTCTTCCTGTTTTTTAATAAAAGATAGCATCCCATACTCACTGTTCTGCACCTATCTCTTTTCGCTTGGAAATCTTCCCATATTAATATATAGAGAACTTCTTTATTTTATTTTAAACAGTTGTATTGTTTCCCACTGAGTGTGTCATAAATTATTTAGGCAGTCCCCTACCCATGGACATTTAGCTGGTCCCAATTGTTTGTTGTTTCTGGGGAGATGGCAACAAGATCCAGAAGGCTTAGACCACTGCTATCCTCCACCAAATCCTTCAGCAGGTTTTCAACGTGTTCAGCATAAGAGGCTGGTTGGAATGAAATTATCCTGGAGAAAATCTTCCTGGACCTGATCAGCATTCGAAGACCTGGAGACCAGCTTATTGTCAGAGTTGGGAGTGGAAGGACTCTCCTAAGCTATGGAAACTCCATACTGGACCTGAAGATGTACTTGCAAGGACTCAGTCTCTCCGTGGAAATGAAAGCAGAGAGCTGGTGTTCCTGGTAATTTGTGAGAGGAAGAAATCACGGTACTTTTCTCTTTTTTAACAAGCTTCCAAGAATGATTGGCAGCCAAGGGGAATCAGTTCTATGCAAAACAATTATTACAGACCAGTGCAATTCATCATTTCAAAAGACTTTTTTTTTCCTGCCTTCATCATGAAATAAATTAAATTTGTCACAATACTTATTGGTATGCTACTAAGCCTCCTCCCAAAATTCAGTTTCGTGTGCCCAATACACTAGTAAGCCAAACTCTGTGACACTGGCAGTTCGAGATAAAGAAAGGATTCAATTTGGCCAAAGATAGAGGACAGGAGAGCAATGTCTCTCAAATCTGTCTTCCTCAAAAAGCAAAAGCACGGGAGTGTTTTTGTGGCAAAAACGGGGACGGGGAGTTTCAGAGAACCCAAGGGAAAGAACCTTTCTTCAATAACAGATAACCTTTTGTGCAACCAAACTTCTGGGCATCTGGACCTCAGTTTCGGAAGGATTTTTTCTGTGGGACTGTTCTGCTTTCCTGGGTCCAGAGCTAAAACACAACTGAGGTCAAGATATTACGTTTCACTCTGCCTCAGTAGTCAGCAGGCCCAGGACCTTGTTCCTAAGACTATTGGTTGTTGAGCAGAACCTCATTGTCCTGAGGACTTCATGATTACACAGCAGAGAGGGAGGTGAATGAGGCAAGTGAGGTGTTAGGGGGAAGGGGATGCAATAAGAATAGGACCATAGTCCTTTAATGGTATTCACCTTACTAACTACAGGTAGGAGGCTTTCCTACAGACCCTGGGAGACGAGGATATCCTGCAAGATTAAAACAGACCTGTAAAAAGATAAGAGATGCCTGGGAGCCTGGATGAATCCATTGCTAAAAAAAAAAAAAAAAAAAAAAAAAAAAAAAAAAAAAAAAAAGTAAATTTTGGGAGCAGACAAAGACAGGATTTGGTCGCTGTGCCTATACCCTGACACCCTTTGGGAGTTTTGGCCTCAGTAATGCTGACAATTCTCAGGTCCCAGGAACTGGTCAAGCTGGGTTTTAACAGCATTGAAAATTAACTAGTACCTTGTTATGGGATTTCAAGATCCTGGAAGGAGACACACGGACCACAGACCCTGCAGGCATTCTCATCCTCCCCCTTGCCTGCAGTCTTCTTCCTCACCCCTATATAATCAGCCTGCTAGTAGGGGAGGTGACTTTACAGGATGACCTGCTGCTCTCTCCATTCTGCCAGCATTATTGGAATAAACAATTATATATGACTCATTCTTATCTCCGCTTAATTTGGCTCAAGTCATGACAAGCGGTCTGGACCCACTTGGTGTCCGGTTTCAAAGGGCCATGGTGGAGCCCACGTCTCTTTGTCCTCAAGTTCAAGTTCTGTTATTCTCATTTCCCCCTTCCAAATCTCTGGCTGTAAGTACTGCCTTTGAGTCTGGGCAAGAGGGGTCCCTGTCCTGGGCTCAGAACTTTAGAGGGACCAGGAGGCTCTGCCTACCCAGGGCCCACCTTCGCCCTACCTGGTCCCCTTACAGTTTAGAGTATTGTAAACCGAAATTCCCGAAGAAATGCAGGGAAAGGAGAGATTTAGAAAAGGAGAGACCTCATTCAGGTGAAACAATTTGCAAAGAGGACAAACCAAACACCGCCTTCTGCAGAAACTGAAAATTTATTTACTCCACAGAGGCAAAGTGGGAGGCTGCTTTTAAGAGGGAAAGTTCCCACCCAACTTCCCAACTAGTCCAAATTAATGCAAATGAGGTTTCCAAATTTAGACTGTTCTAATTGGCCTGACCCATCCAGTTCTGATTAGTCAGTGTCATGCATTCTGGTTGGTCACAGAGCAGTTCTTATTCATTGGTATAGTTGCAAATGAGGATATAATTGTGCTGTTTTGATTGGACAAGGCACGTTTCAGTTCATTGGTGGAACGACAAAACCAGGGCTTTCCCCGGCAGTGACTAGCTCAGACTAACCCCTCAGGAGTGGTAACTTGGGGCTTAATGTCTCACTTTAGCCAAGAACAATTTTCAGAAAGTGTTTACACAGGAGTGCTGTCTGCCAGGACTTCCATCTGCAGTTGGAGGGAGTTCACAGGTCTAGAAGGTAGATTTGAATGGTGCATCAAAATGTCTAATATAGCCCTGCCAGTTTAGTTCAGTGGTTGAGTGTCAATCTATGAACCAGAAGGTCATGGTTTAATTCCCAGTAAGGGCACATGCCCGGGTTTTAGGCTCATCTCCAATCTCAGGCATGCAGGAGGCAGCCAATCAATGATTCTCTTTCATCATTGATGTTTCTATCTCTCTCTCTCCCATCCTCTGAAATCAATGTTTTTAAATATTGAAATCAAAAAATTTTAAATGTCTAATATAAATGCCAAAGTGTTGAATTTTGTTCACAGGATTATGTATCTATAAACTAAATCTATTTGGCTCCATTCTTGACACAGGCACTGCCTTGAAGAATAAAAATAGAATCTTCTTTGGAGTTTCCCAAGAAGGTGTCTTAAGGGTTGGACAGGATGGTTCCACAGAATAATCTGTAGTATTTCTCTGCAGACATCTTTCCAGCTCCAAATTTATACAAAAATAGCGCCATCTAAGTCTTGTTACAGAGGTAAGAAACCTCAGGGTTTTTTTTAGGAAGTCTAACAAGATACTCAAATAATTGGGCTGCATGAATATGGCCAACTGAGGAGCTGAACAGCAATAAAGGGAAAGCGATGAGAAGCACATAGGCATCAAAGACACTGGCTACGGACATTTCCTAACCTCTGTGGCGTCTCATTCATTTGGAATGGCAAATTTTTTTCTTGTGAGGAATTTTCCCCCCATTTATTTTTAGAGTGGGAGAGAGAGGGAAAAACATAAATGTGAGAAAAACACATCAACTAGTTGCCTCCCATACCCACTCTGACTCCAGGATCAAACCTG